ATATATATATATAGGCATCCTGGATTTATGATTCTTGCTTTAGAGTATGTCATGAAAGTAATTTTACTGCTTCTTATGTGCATCTTATTTTACTGTAATTATAAACTTTAGCATTACTGAATAATAAACAAGAACATGAATACTTTACGCTAAGTAGTGTAAAAAACATTCCAGGGGTTTCACTGAACTAGGAACTATACTTGGTTTCGGTGTAGTTGAGCACTTAATGAAACAACACACTGGTGTACAGCATTTACCACCATTTTTAGTGTTCGGATACATGAAATGGTTTTTACTATGAAGAATCGCAAAATTTTGAAATTCTGAGCTTGGCAAATGTGTGAGAAGTTACCTAATGACAAAAGCAATTTTTAAATGGATACGGGAAGGAGTGTTTGTTATCGAGATCGGCTACAGTTCCTACCGGTCCGGATAATCGACACTATTGTAGTTTAAGAAATAACAACTAAAATCTAGTAATTGCAACAAAAACTTTCAATAAATTCTAGTGTGCTACATAAAAAATAACCTTCTTGAAAATATTTACCTTCCTTATCATTGCAAGGATTGCAAAATTTAAATGAACTGTTGATGAATTGTTCTTCAACGCAGTCACACTTGTTAAGAAGGTGCAATTCCCGACAAACTGATTGGCAAAACTAAAAATAATAATAATTCTTTTTTTTGACTGAAAATTTTAATAAAATTTTTTGAAACATAATTAAAAATTTGTGTCTTATTATTTTAATAGCTGCACATATATATCTCAAAAATTCCTATCGATATTTTCGTTTTTATTTTGATGAAAAATAACATTGTTAAAATATTTAAAAATACTAACTAAAATTTTTTTAATTATTGAATGCAGTTTCTTTCGGAAAAAAAATTGGAATTTAATTACTTAATTAAAATGGATAATTATTAGTAATTAACTAATTGGTGATTTAAAAATTTGCCTGGTACTGCATGCCTTATCGAATTCTTGAAAAAAAAAACAACAACTAAAAGTGCTGTAAAACTGTAATTAAACTGGGATATTTCAGCACCAGAAACACACGTTATTCAATAAAATGCACGGCTAACGCTTATTAATACACGACAAATACATTTCACGGTTTAAGCTTGAACTGATTACTCTGGTCGACGATGGATAGCAGCGCCATCTGTCGGTAACTAAGTTCCAAAATTTCTATATAAAGTTTTTAGAGCTTTCGCAATAAACATACAGTTTGTTGCATACCTCTACCACCACTTGTTTCCGAGATTTTTTTAATTTTGCTGTATCATCTAGACACTCAGCATATACTGGACTAGCACTTTTTTCTTACATGGACCTCAATTGTGTGGATGATAGAATATGTTTCCTAATGAATGTTCCCTAATGAAATAGGTTAAGATGGCAAATATGTTTCAGCCTATACAACGCTTTAATAATGAGTTATATCATGGACTCGAAAATGATGATGAAGTTTGTCGTCCATGAAATGGTTCTCGATCTGGGGGAAAAACGTCCTGTAATTCTTGGTATTATCATCTATCCAGATTATTCTGCAAGTAACACTTCACAATTCAAGGAACTAGGAGGACAGCAAAATTAAAAAAAAAACAGTTACGGTTTTCGCTATTTAGTTTCGGTTTAAAATATTCATTTTCTTTACTACTGTTGACACATCTTAATCATACTCTGTTTCATTATCTGAATAATGCATTTCAAGCTTTTCTTCAGCACAGTCGTTATCGTAGAGTTTATTAGACTTTTGGAATTTTAAATACTTACAGCACAGATGCTTGTTTTCTCTTTTGGTACTATCTGTAGGTAAAAGCGTAAATATATGAAAATATTTATTTTGCAATTAAATTAAATAATTTTTTTAAAAAAAATATTTCAATCGATAAAATAAATTGATATCTTTAGATTATCATTATCTACCTTACATTATTTATTTATATTTTTACAAAGTATTTTGATTTTTGATACAACAAAAATGATCAATTTCCATAGTTCTAAAGAAGAAGAAAAAGAATTCTCGCACTGTGTCACGAACACGGTTCAAAAATATTCTTTTTTTTTATTGAAAAAAATTATGGATTTGTTTCTGTTATAAGTACACTAAATGCTAGGTTAGTTGAAAACTTTTTTTACATATATATTAGATGATATTTTCATTAAAAAAAGAAACAATAAGAATATTCATATTAAAAGTCTCCGAATAATAAGATTTCAGTGAGAAAAAATTGTATCAAACTTCACTTGAGCATTAGCAAGATATAGCGGAGCGAAAATACAGATTACAATCTTCAAAAACTAGCCTAAATGAAAAAGAATGACGGTCCCTAATAGAAGTGGATGGAATTTTTGAGGCACCTTGTACATAAGTGCTCGGTAGAATATTTGCTGTTTAAGGAAGATAATATACATGCTATTACAGTTTACATAAAAATAACAGTAGTCGTAGCAGTTGTAGAGTTCTGATATCCATGAATTACCTATATCCACCAGTTGATTAGCCGTAAAGATCTGCAGTGGGTGAAGACTTTTTCGGGGTATGACATTAGTGCGCTAGCATCTGTAACACTGGACTGAAATCTATCGCGATTTCGAGTGAAATTGCCGACGATTTCCGAGAGTCATAATATTTGTTCATGACATTCCATTGTGATTAAGAAGCACAATAAATAGCGGCAGTGGTCAAGCATGTCATTTACATGTAAATGTTCTCTTTCAGAGGTTAACTATTACGGATTGACTGCTGTTGGCGCGGGTATCTCCCCTTGGCGGAAAACTTTTTACTCCCTCCGATAATTTCCTTGGTGCCGACCTGGTGGCCAAGTGGTTAGCGTGCCCGACTGCGGAGCCACTGATCGCGGGTTCGAATCCTGCTCAGGGCATGGATGTTTCTTTATCTTTCTCTGTGTTCTATGTCCTTTCTCCCTTGTGTGTGATTGCGTGAATGTGATCTGCCCTATAAANACCAGCCGACCAGGTGGCCGAGTGGTTAGCGTGTCTGACTGCGGAGCCATTGGTCGCGGGTTCGAATCCTGCTCAGGGCATGGATGTTTATCTCTCTCTGTGTTCTATGTCCTTTCTCCATTGTGTGTGATTGCGTGAATGTGATCTGCCCTATAAACTGGTTTGTGGTTGTGTGACGCGAGCGACGCTGCTCCACCGCCGTGGTTTCGCCACAGGTGCCCACTGGGTAACGAGAAGAGCGTGGCAGTTCCGGCATTCCTGTGGCCAATGGGATTACCCCCCTTGAAAAAACTGGCTTTTGGTTTTCCGAAGCCTTTTCATGAAGTCAGTTGGCTAATAACTGGATTTTAGAGGGAGTGATGTGACTAAAGATAAGCCACGTTTAAGTTTTATTTCGAATTTTTATTACTTTCTGAATTTCCCTTTTCCTTTTTTTTGGATAACAAGCAAACATCAATGAATTTATAGTAAGATGTTTAAAAACTCCCTCCCTATTTCAGGATTACCAAAAAACAGGTAAGCCACTTTTACTCCGTACCTTTTGGGGCCATCCGGTCAAAATGACCAATCTCCTAGACTACCAGTGGTGCTCTAATGAGCCCATAGAAGATATTTTGGCTCAAGCTAAAAACAACGGCTCAGCAGACTTTTGGTTTAGCATTGAAGCAAAAGAAAAATCTTGTGCTATACCACAGACCTCACCAGTTCGCCTTAAAGCAGACCTAAATGCTTCTGTACAAAAAAAATTAAAACTATTAGATTCTAAAAAAGCGGGTCGCTCCTTATCCAATGTGACGACTTAGAAATTTGCAAAATACATCTTAAAGATAAACACAATCCTAGAGATTCCTGTAGCAGCTAAATGCCTTGTAGAATGTATTTCCTCCAAATTTATCCTCCGGAACTTTCCTGTTGAAACTTCGGTTTCGGACATTAGTCGGGAGTTCAATTTAGAAAACAAGACACAGGTTCTAGAAATTCGTCGGTTTTTAAAACAAGGGAAACCGCCAACCACAATCCTTTTCAATATCTTAGGTACTGTTGTCCCTGAGAAAATCCGTCTCTGGTATCAATACTATGAGACTAAACTCTTCCAAGATAGCGTTACCTTATGCAAAAACTGCTGGAGTTTTGCCCACCCCGATAAATACTGTAAATCCCCAACCAGATGCCACAACTGTGGAGGCCTTTCCTCTGAACATCAGGGCCCATGTACTAGGGTCCAGTGCTGCAGAAATTGCAACGGCAATTATAGTCCAATTCAGCGTGATTGTCCTGCATTTTTAAATTTTGAGAAACTAATGAGAATTAAGTCTACCCATCATGTTCCGATGAGTGAAGCTAGAAGAATAGCTTATTTGAAAAAGCCCTCATACGCAGAAATAACTCAGTCTGTGCCAGGAGAATATATTACCTGAGCAGAGTTGAAATCAGAACACAACAAGTTCGCGGGTTCCATGCAACAGCTAGTCGAGAATACCTGCGCAAATCAAGTTTCTATACTGGCGGCCCAAATTGAGAATTTGACGGCCTCTATAAATAATATTCTTATCCCCGCGATAACTAACATCCAACGAAGCACCACTGCCCAGGGTGCAATCACAGAAAATAAAATCTCAACCTACTCATCCGACTTCTCTCCAGAACGGGCAAAAAAGAAGAAGAAATCGAACACACCCCTTACTTATGTGCAATTCACTACAAATCCTCTCCTAACAGCTGATCACCCTATAGTTCAAGATCTGCCTATGCCTATGGACAACTCCTTATCAATGCCTCTAATACCGTTGAATAACGATGAGGATGAATTATCTCTTGAGCTTCAAGAAAAGGCTTTATTAAAAAAAAAAAGAAAAAAAAAACCTCTTACCTTACTGCATACTCTGTCCCAGGCGTTTAGAAAAACTTAAAAAGGAAAAAAAAACTTTTATTTTTATTTCTTATAAGCTCGCAGTCTTAGAAATAAACGCTACTGGCTGAGTCAAATCATCTTTTCAGAAGCCGATATTATCGCAATTCAGGAAACCTTCCTTCAAACCGATGATCAAATTAACTTTAAAAATAAAACTCTCCGACAAGATCGTGACCCCCCTAGCCATAGAGGTGGTGGCACCCTCTTAGCTATTTCAAAACATATCCCATTTCAAAGAATTTATTTCCATAATCTCCCCCCTTCCCGAATTGAGACCCTCGGTGTAAAAATTCAAGTTAATAATAGACAAATCACGGTAGTTAATATCTATTCACCAGACGGTAATTACTCCTCACAATGGTTGGAAAATTTCCTTCCCAATATTGGGAAACCCTTCATCATCGTCGGAGATTTTAACGTAAGACACCGAGCCCTCGGCTCTGTCTCTTGCTCCCAAACTGCTGATATCTTTCTCGACTGGATCCTAACAAATAATATTACTATTTTGAATACAAATACTCCCACCCACTTTGGCGGCCCACATCATCAACAGTCATTATTAGATCTTACCCTAGTTTCCCCTGAACTTTACCAGAAATCTTCTTACTCTGTCTTCCCAGACCCTTTTGATAGTGACCATTTTCCAATTATAACCATAGTTAAATTCTCCTTAAACAACCCTTGCATACCACGCCCGTACCTCCATTTGCAAAACGCACAAAATGAAATCGCTCAAGCTCTGTCAAATAATAATTTCAACGCAAAGAACATGGAAGATACTTGCAATTCCGTAGTCAAAGATAATACCCGATTTACAAAATTTCCCCCGCATCCCACAGCTCCGTGGTGGGATAAAAAATGCGCGTTTCTGCTAGGTCAAAAGCACAAATTTTTGCGTGAGGCTACAAAACAAGTCTCNAATTCCGTAGTCAAAGATAATACCCGATTTACAAAATTTTCCCCGCATCCCACGACTCCGTGGTGGGATAAAAAATGCGCGTTTCTGCTAGGTCAAAAGCGCAAATTTTTGCGTGAGGCTAAAAAACAAGTCTCATCCACATTTTGGCTTAAATACAAACACTACTCCGCTCAACTCCGCCAATACATTAAAATCAGAAAAAGAATCAATTGGGACAAAATTTGTTCCAATTTAGGTTCCTCAAAAAACATTTTTAAAATCTTGAAAAGTATCTCAACTCGAAATTCCTCTGATCCCTCAGAAAACTTGATTTTAATCCACCAAGCGACGGCTATCACCTGCCCACTCGACCAAGCGAACCTTTTTGGGGAGCACTTTTTTCATGCTCAAAGCCCCTGCCCAATCCCTTTCTCATTCTGGGGTACAGGCTACAACCACTTGGATACCCCTTTCTCGTCTACCGAACTGGAAGCAGCTATTCATCGAACAAAGAACACGGCACCCGGACCAGACCGCATTCCGGCTATTCTCATTAAATTTATTCACTCCCGTTACCCAACTAAGCTCCTTCACTTCTTTAATGTCATTCAAGATACAGCCCAACCCCCAAGTTCATGGACCCAAGCAAAAATCGTTCCGATCTTAAAACCAGGAAAAAACCCATCAGAAATTCTCAGCTACAGACCTATTGCTCTCCCCTCGACTTTCGCCAAGGTCTTCGAACGTATGCTTTTACAAAGGCTCCTTAATTTTAGCCTTCAACAAAATATCTTTCCCCCCTCCCACACTGGCTTCCTCCCTTTTCGTGACTGTAATACAACTCACTCAATACTCTACCATGACATACGAGAAGCACGTGAACGGAGAAAATTTATTGCTTGTGTTGCACTCGATCTAGTCTCGGCATACGACAACGTATGGATTGATGGTCTCCTCACCAAACTCCTCTCGATCGGCATATCTGGAAAAACAACGCTTTTCTTGCAAAACTTTCTCTCCAATAGAACCTTCTACATCTCCTGGCGCAACACCCCGTCTAAAGATTTCCAGCAACCCCAGGGCCTACCGCAGGGCAGTGTCCTCTCCCCCCTTCGTTTTATGTGTTACCTTAAAGACATTCACAAACACCTTCCCACTGGAGTTAAAATTCTTGTGTTCGCTGATGACATCTACATTTACTATGCTGCAAAGTCTTTTGACAGGGTTATTGCTAAACTTCAAGATGCCCTCATCACCATTCAAACTTGGTGCACTGAGTGGAAAATGGCTATATCACCTTCATTAAGTGCAACTATTAATTTCTCTAACAAACGTCTCTCACCTACGATTCAGTTAACAATTTTTAACGAACGAATTCCCCAAGTTAATTCCATCAAAATTCTCGGCATCCATTACACTGCAAACATTTCTTTCCTCTGTCATTTCAAAAATTCTACCTCCGTCACTGATCCCTTGGCTCTCACTCCCCAATAAATCGCCTTTTGCCTAAATTCCATTTTACTAGACTTAAAAAGAAACCTCACCTTTTCCTCAAGTTTCAGGACATCTTCAACCAAAAAGGCATAAGTAAATTCAATATCATCCCCTTCCACATTCCAGTTTTCCTCACAGATCTCCCGAACCTCTGTCTTTTTGTACACGATCTTCCTTTTCAAACTACGAAAAATCTCAACGAAATCCTCCCTCGCTAACAGGAAACCCTCCACGCCCTTTGGAAAGACTTTGTCATCCTGGCTACCGATGCCTCAAAATCCAGTACGAACACTGGTATTGCGGCTATTAGCTCAAGGAAAAACATGTCTTATATCTCTCAAATCCATCCTATTAACTCAGTTTTCGCCGGAGAAGTTTTAGCGATTTGGTTAGCAGTCACAAAATTCACTACCGAGTATCTAGATTACGTTATTTTATCGGACAGTAAGTCCGCAATCACTGCCCTCATCTCAGCTACCCATAAATCCCCTAACAGCATCCTCCTCTTACAAAATAAGATAGTCTCAGCAAGTGCAAAAGTTAAATCAATTACGATCGCCTGGACACCAGCACACGTTGGCATCCCCCCCAATGAAACCAGTGATAAGCTGGCCAAACACGCCACCAATGCCCCTCGAGCTATCCCTTTTATCTCACCAGAAGACTTGTTATATTCAGCAGTTTTAGACTCAAACCGCGAACTCAGTAACCTCCGGACTAACTCAAAATACCACAAGCGTTTCCCTTTTGATCACCCCGTTCATCTTTTGAAAGAATGGTCACTTGTGTTGAAAAGTGGCCAGTAGTCAAATTTTCTCGTTTTGCCCCATACGTTGATGTAAAAATTGTTTCTTTAACCCCTTGGGGACGGTTGATTCAGAAAAGCATTCGTACAAAATCAGGATCAGGACGTAATTAAATAAAAAACGGTAACTTAAATGTAGTCGTTTCTAATTTGACAGACTTACTTTGCCTTTACTTTAATTATTGTTAGTTTAATCATATATATAATCAATGTTAATTCAAAGTTTAACTAAATAGTTTTATTTTGAACAAAGTAATGGGGAATTAAATAAATCAAACAATTATAGCTCCGCCCATAAATAAACTGCTAAAGAATTACTTTGATTGCCAGTTGTATCTTTTTACCATGGTTGATACGGTTTTATACTGGCACGTATTTGTGACAGTCGGTGCGAAAGGGTAAATGTTAATTAATAGAATTGCCGTAATGAAACAAAAGGAAAAACACTAAATATTCAACAAATTATAGAAATATATATTTCCTCAATTAATTTGGCGGTTTTTAGAAATTTACAACAGGTAAACGTTTTAGGTTAAAAAGAAAAATCTTGCAACAAATTTATGGGGCATAGATTTTTCTTCTCTCGGAAAATTTATTTCAAAGCTTTTTGACTAATAGCATGGCAAGTAGTAAACTTGTAAATCAAAGAAAAACAATGGAAAATTATCCAACAACGGAAAGGGTAATTTTTTGGGCTAAGTGGACTAGAGTAAAAAACAACGTGAATGAAGCACAAATATAAGTACAAAAAAAAATGACGAACTCTAGTTGTAGTTCTAAAAACAAGAACCTGCAGTGTATCTACCACTACAAAAATATAATTCCAATTCACTAGTATATAAGACATGTTAACTCGATTCTACGTAGGGGTACGTTTTCATAGATGAATGTTAACATTTGCCGATGACTTCTCATACCTGTGAGCCTTGATCGAAACTCCCACTTCGATATGAACACGCCTATCTTGACAGTAATGACCACTTCTATCTGAACACGCCTATTTCGATGCATGGTCCACATTGAACAGTTGACTTGCTACTTGTGACTGCGACATTATCTACTTCCTCGCGCTGTTGTTACTCAGTTTCGATCACACACAACATCGGCCTGTATACACTCAGTAATGACCACTTCTATCTGAACACGCCTATTTCGATGCATGGTCCACATTGAACAGTTGACTTGCTACTTGTGACTGCGACATTATCTACTTCCTCGCGCTGTTGTTACTCAGTTTCGATCACACACAACATCGGCCTGTATACACTCAGTAATGACCACTTCTATCTGAACACGCCTATTTCGATGCATGGTCCACATTGAACAGTTGACTTGCTACTTGTGACTGCGACATTATCTACTTCCTCGCGCTGTTGTTACTCAGTTTCGATCACACACAACATCGGCCTGTATACACTCAGTAATGACCACTTCTATCTGAACACGCCTATTTCGATGCATGGTCCACATTGAACAGTTGACTTGCTACTTGTGACTGCGACATTATCTACTTCCTCGCGCTGTTGTTACTCAGTTTCGATCACACACAACATCGGCCTGTATACACTCAGTAATGACCACTTCTATCTGAACACGCCTATTTCGATGCATGGTCCACATTGAACAGTTGACTTGCTACTTGTGACTGCGACATTATCTACTTCCTCGCGCTGTTGTTACTCAGTTTCGATCACACACAACATCGGCCTGTATACACTCAGTAATGACCACTTCTATCTGAACACGCCTATTTCGATGCATGGTCCACATTGAACAGTTGACTTGCTACTTGTGACTGCGACATTATCTACTTCCTCGCGCTGTTGTTACTCAGTTTCGATCACACACAACATCGGCCTGTATACACTCAGTAATGACCACTTCTATCTGAACACGCCTATTTCGATGCATGGTCCACATTGAACAGTTGACTTGCTACTTGTGACTGCGACATTATCTACTTCCTCGCGCTGTTGTTACTCAGTTTCGATCACACACAACATCGGCCTGTATACACTCAGTAATGACCACTTCTATCTGAACACGCCTATTTCGATGCATGGTCCACATTGAACAGTTGACTTGCTACTTGTGACTGCGACATTATCTACTTCCTCGCGCTGTTGTTACTCAGTTTCGATCACACACAACATCGGCCTGTATACACTCAGTAATGACCACTTCTATCTGAACACGCCTATTTCGATGCATGGTCCACATTGAACAGTTGACTTGCTACTTGTGACTGCGACATTATCTACCTCCTCGCGCTGTTGTTACTCAGTTTCGATCACACACAACATCGGCCTGTATACACTCGAAGGCTAATGGCAACACGAGAGCGACCTCGACTGTGAACTTAATACAGGTCTCAGGATAAGTACTCAAAAAGTACGGTGATCTTAATACAGCTCTCCTAGCTTCTCACAAAATAGCAATGTATCATCTAATGGTATTTGTTCATCGAATTCTATCACAGATATAATTCTGGTGGGGGAGTACTATAGTGTATCTACCACTACAAAAATATAATTCCCATTAACTAGAATATAAGACATGTTAACTCGATTCTATGGTGGGATACCTTTTCATAGACGAAGGCTGATATTGTCTATAACATATCCTAACAAACCTTCATCAGTGTCTAAACATCAAGTGAAAGTGGGGAAGTAAAGAGACAAACACGTGTAAAGTGATCTATATAAACAATGGGACCAAATAAGAAGTTGGAACCAGAAAATCACAATGAAGAGATAAGGCACAGATGTGAGGAAGTTTGGTGGGAGCCCCAGGAGGCAACAGATTAGCTAAAAATGGACATACTGGGAAACGATGTGATACTCGAAAGATCATTAGCTAGATTATTAGTTTTTTCAGTTACGGTTTATTATTAAACCCCTTTGCATATGTTTGTCGCTTTGCTTCTCAACCTTCATTTGCCTTTTAGACACTGAGAAAGGTTTTCGTTTATAGAACTGAAATTATAGTATGTCAAATTTTTGTACTTTCATTTGTGCTTTACTTACGTCGTTATTTGCTTTAATCAAAAGCTACATCACAATTTTTTGGTCTTTTTCTTAATGGAAATTAGCCAATGACGTATTTGAAATCTTCACTATCAGTCACAATCGAATGTCGTAATAGGGAGAAGAAATGTACATGTAACAAATCACTAGAGGGAAAACTGAAGTAGAAACTTGCTGTGATGAGAGGAAGAAATGTGCATACATCAAATAACAAGTAAAAAACATTATGAACTTGCAGAGAATTAAAATCATAAACTCCGGGTGAAAAAACTTACACACCGTTACATAAATTTGCTGCTACGAAAACTTTTTTTTCCCGCCTTAAAACTGTTTCCCCGTTATAAATTTTTGAAAACCGTCAGTCTAATTTAGAAATCCATGTATGCAACTTATATTAGATAATAAACAATTAAGTGCAAAATAAGATTAATTTTTGGTATTACTTCATATGTATAATACTGACGACTCTTCAAAATAAAGCTGTCTCTTGCTTTTAAAATATCATATAATGGAGAATCTTCAAAACTTTTTGAGCAATCACCATACGGAGTAGAAAGTCTTTCAATTTCTCGCTAAAAGAAGACATAATAATGATGGCTTATATTACGCAAAAAAGAACACTTGCTAATTAATATGAATATAGAGTATATTGAGTAATGTATTAGTATATAAAATTACTAAATGAATTAATTACATGTATTGTATACATCTTCAGTGGGTCGATAAATGAGTACCAAGCATGCTTGGGAACTGGGGGTTCAGCGTTCGGCTGACCACCTGATCACCCAAGATCAAGAAAACTGAGATGGGCACAGTAGGCCTAGCCCTCTATGGGCTGTCACGCCGCTAAGTTTAGTTTGTATACATACATGAAAGCCTTGTATTGAAAGCTATACAAATTTTCATGTCTCCTAAAATTATGTAATTTTAAATGAGAAAAATCAACATTTGAATGAAAGTGTTTATTCGGTTTTTATTCACTAAAATTGCAAAAAAAAATTTTTTTTAAATTTTCTTTTTTGTTTGACCAATTTTCTCTACGTTACAAATTATATAATTTGAAGCTACATTAATTAAAATGAGGTAAAATATTTCATAACTCGTAAGAAAATAATTAAAATTGATAAGGCGTGAAAAATTTATTCCCTTAAAAAAATCAATGAATTAACTTAACAATGCTTAGTGATACATTCATATACCAGTTCAATATCTTTCTCCAATTTCTCATATATAAAATATATATTTAAGTTTTATTTTCGTTTATTTCTGAAAGAAATCGCTTTACATGAATCGCATTTTTTATTCTTGTGGAGAACCAGATGAATTTTGTTTTCATCTGGTTTCTTTAAAAAAGTTATTCATCTCTGGAGAAAAATTCATACACTGTAACCAGATTTTAATTCTTTCTTGGTGCGTTTTCGACAATCGTAATACAAGATCATTTATAATCAACTCACAAAATTTATATTCTTTGAACTCTCTATAAAAAAGTACTCACAACAGTCGGCACTAAATATTATTTAACTGGGAATTAGAATTTAATTAAAATTTGAGAAATAGTTATTGTGGTTAAATGGCTGGTCAAAAAGCATCAAATTCTGTTTTAGTGTCAGATAAAACTGAAAACTATTTGTAATAACTTCCTTTTAGTTCAGTGATTACAAAACACCCTGTATATTGTAATTTGATTTATTCGATACCCCTCTTTAAATATAGAAATGCACAGTCGACGAAATAAAAAATTGTCCTTAAAAACTTTTAAAATAATGGTAAGACTTTAGCACAATTACTTGACCGACTTTCACGAAAAGTCCGTCTTGTTCCGCGGAGGTTCAGGGGATAGAGAGTTTGCCTTCCAATGAGATGCCCCTGGTTCGAACTGTGGTTTCTGGTTGATACGAACTCTGCACCCATCTTGCTCCGACCGACATCTTGGCAGACGGATCACCGGTTCCCCTTGCCGTTGGGCTAACCGTGTGATGTTTCAAAGTTTTCCTCTCCATGTAATGCAAAATGAGGGTTAGTTCCATTAAAAAGTAGTTTGTCCCAATGCTTGAACCAGGGGCGCCTTTTGTTTTCTGTTCTGGTTCAAAATTACAAGTCTACCGAGTTGAACATTGATAGTCGTAAACTCAGAAATAGATCAGCTGTTCAACTCAGATTATAAAGTAAAAAATATCTGTCTTAAATATCGTGGGTCAGCTTTTTTTCTTGAAACAGCTGTAATTGCATGTCTAGGCAAGAAAACTCAGTTAAAGATGTATGTTAAAGAAAATGACCATAGCTATTACTTTTCCTACTTTTTTAAACTCTAAGTATATTTCTTACTGGGCAAAGTCCCAGACGATGGGGTTGAAATGCTGGGTGTCTTACCTATGTAACATTTCAAGCATCTTTCCAATTTCACTCTTACCGTATTATCATTCAAACTGATGCACATTGATCTGAAGCTGAGTGAGCTTCCATCTGCCATAGCGGATTAAATCTTCGTCCTCCATAATGTCCAGTACCTCTAACCACTGAGCCATCGCGGACATTCAGTACTCAAAAGAATTAAGGACGAAATCAAAAAGTACTTAATAATAAGCTATAATAACCACGATGAGTTATCGTAAGTGCTTGTAGCAGTCTCGTGCTATATTGTTATCTGTCATTGTGAAAATCTAGTTATTGTTTTATTCTGATATTTTACTAATGCACAATTTTTTTTGTGTATTTTTAGTAAGTATACGCATTCTTAAAGATGCTAATTGATGTTCGTTTTATTTTTCGCCAGGTCAAATATTAAATATTAGGAAAATTATGTGAAGAAAATGGAACATTTAATGTAGGGTGAAGGTAAGATTATTATTTTTTTTTAACTTTTGCAAAATAATAATGGTGTGTTTATTGTGCAAGACAGTTTAGTCTACGTCGAAAAAAGCGAATACAAATAAACACTATTTGATTCATAAGGAACATAAATATTTCAATTTAGTAGCTGAATCTTGACAAGAAGTATTATTTGTAAAGTACTTCTACTTTATTATTTTCATTTGAAACAGTATTTTACAGTTGTTTACTAAAATTTATTAAATATTAATGTTATAATAAATTATTGGCTTCACGTGAAAACAAAAATATTTTATATTGTAAACCTTTATTTTAGTAAATGACGTAATTATTATTTTTTAAACATTGTTTTCAAATAATGCCCTAAGGCAAAAAAAACTATACAAGAGCTATAATAATTTAACAAAAGTCACATTTATAGGTATATCTACTTCTCCGGCCTCCTTTATCACTGCTTAATTTGAATGTGGCCTTTTATGGTAAAAAGGCTCTCCATCTCTGACTTAAACTTGTAACCAGCGTCCATGTCCCAGTACCACGCTGACCACTAGCAAGTCGCGGCCAATGGTTTGGGAATTGCTTAACTACACTATTAATTGACGTATTTAAGGTTGTCTTTTCCGGTCACTAAGTTTGCTACTTAATACGTGAAAATCTTGTCAAAGCAAATCATAAGTAACTAAGGGGAATACGTTTTTTTAATTTTGATGACCGTACCCATTTAAATGTTGAGAAGAAACCAAAACATAATTGTAAATATACAGAAAGAGTGCCAAAAAATATATCTTACGATTCTAATACTCATGTAAGACTTGGTACCCGGATGCAGAACTATTCCTCCCCGATCAACTGTAGGATACGCGTAACGAGGGTGAACCATGATTCGAACTCCATATTCAGGTGATAATAAATCCCAATATTGAGTTCTTTCTATATTCAAGGTTAAAGTCAAACCTGAAATAGTCATTAACTTTAAAAATATAGTTAAAATACTCAACAGTTTAGCCATAACAAATTATGTTTTAACAGAGTCTTAAGAATAAATTTTATTCAGAAAAATAAATAAATTGAAAGATATAAATCCGGCACTGGAAAGGAAAAATTAGGAATAATTTCGAGGTTACTATAAACTGAAGTGATTTTGACTCCTCATTCCGTAAAAAATGGAAATGTAGCTGTCTTTTATGTAAGGCCATTAACTTTTAAAATCTTCTTGCGTAGCACCCACCAATTTGTTCCTTCAATCTAAAGTAACCCATGCATATTCGCGCATACATTCTGGGTTTTGAAAGAAAATAAATATATTGTTTTACTACTCTTAAACGTTAAACCCAGAGCACATAAGGGAAAAAAATATAAAATATTTACAGTTCCTGTTTTACACGTGTATTTTAAGACTCATGTAAACATTGAAAAGAATATAGAAAACAGTTTTTTATTTATAAGAGATTTTTTTTATTCTTATTTATCTATGACAAACTGCTTTAAAATGTTTTTTTTGCTTATAAAATAGTTGTATGTTAATAGTACGTTTATTTTTCATATTTTCAAACATGTGACAGCTTACTCTCTTTTCTCCGACTTCTAAATCAAATGAATTATGTACTTCTTTTTTTTGTCAGCGCAACAAACCCTTGCAGGCCTTGTCTGCCTCATCAGCTGACAACCGCCAACGCATCCTATCTATGTATACCTATCTATCTCCTATCTCTCTAATGTTTTGGGTTTTCAGGTCATTTTCGATGTCGTTGAGTCATCCAGTAGGGGGTCTACTCTGGCACGTGATCACTCGGGGTTCTTAAAGGTGACGATTCTTATGGAGCTATTTCCAGGGCTACTCCATAGATGGATCAGCCATCTCAGCCTATTACTGCTGATTATTTGTGTAATTTGGGGCTGCTTATCGAGTCGGTAGAGCTTGAAGTTATATCTCGTTCGCCAGCATCCCCTTTTTTTGAATTGAGCCAAAGATGGCTCTAAGGATCTTTCTTTTGAAAAAGAATTACTACTCTGCATGATTGTTTTACATTAAGAATTTTTTATTGCGTAATTGTTATGTAGAGTTTTGCTGTTTTTCCTCTTGGGAGATGCCGTCTTGGCTCCATACGCTTTCTTAGAAGTTTTTTTACCCAAGTTTTCTAGAAATATTCGGCATCTATAAATCAATCTTCTTTATATAAATTGATTACTATAAAGTACAAAAGTGTTGTGTGTTGATATGCCCAAAATATTACTGAATATTGCGATAGATAGGCTAGCAATTAGTCTTTCTTTCTGTAGTATAGGCTCTTATCATTTCGTCTAGTGAATCAGCAGCTATTTTGGTTTCATTATAGTCAATAATACTCAATAAAGTCAATAAAGGTTACTGAAAAGGTTAAAGTTTTAAGTCAATAAAGGTCAATAAAGGTTTAATACTCATTATAATCAATAAAGGTTTCTTTGGTTGACTGTTTTAATTTTATGTAATGTACTTTAGAGAACAACATATTTATTTTTCTCTGGAATGTAACTCACCAGTGTCGTATATCTAATGAAGACCAATGTTGAACTGTATTTTTCTTTTCCCGATGTTTTCAGTATTTTTGATGATATAGAGGGTTTATTTTTTTATTTTTTGCTGTACCAATCATTGTTATTTTTCTTCGAAGCAAAATTTAACCTAATTCATGTGAAATAAAGAAATTATTAGAAGTAATATTGCGCCCTCGTAAATCGTAGGATCTGTTCATAACTACTCTCAATCCTTAGAATTTTTCTGGAGAAGAATCTGTTTGGTTTCCAATATGGTTGGATACATAACAAGTGGCATTGTCACACAAAAGACAGATTTTAATGCCTTATTTATCACGTTTTCTAGTCATGTATTGACTGAATAGACATTTTACTCTAAAAGCAATAAGTTGTTCGTTTACTTTTTCGCATGCTTCTGGATTGAAAAAATTTGTTAAAATCTCTTCCCGTTTGTCCCATAATTACTTAATACAATTAAATTCGTCATTCAATTTCATTTGAGTTTCTATATCATTAAATTGAATAACTCGAGGTATCATTTTGAATTTAGAGAAATTATAGCCCTCAAAAAAGCTCTTTTCTGGCATTCATCCCAAAGACTTGTCGCTGCTTCATTCCTCGACTTGTAAACACCCACAAGCAGCAAACGGCCAATATAGACATCTAAATCATCAATATTTAGATCTTTCCAATTTTCTTTATACATACATTATTTCCCTTCAAAATTTATATAAAACTAAAATTTTCAAATTATTAGGAAAAAACAGTTCAAAATATTCATCTTCTATTCATATTGATGAAATCTAGTAGGACTAAGACTTAGATTCAGAATTGTACCACATTGTAAACGATCAACATTTGGGTATGTTTTTTTTGGTCACTTCTTGTCAATTTCAATTTCTTCATCAGATGATATAGAATCACAAACTTATGAATGATCTTCTTCTCAAACATATTTAATTTTCTTTGTAATTTCCATTATATTGAAGTATACTTTGCAACTAAATAAACAGAACAGAACAAATATTGCTGTTCTGTTATTTGTTAAAACTAATGTTAAAATTAACATGTTAAAATTAATGTTTTTTTTTCCTCAGCAAAACTAAAAATTTAATCGATTTTAAATTTCAGAGTTTGGTTAATGTAAGAGTAAAGAAAAAAAAGACATAAAGCCTTGAGAGATAATAACAAATAGTTATTTAGATATCGAAGTTGAAACATGTGTTAAGTTCCAAAAGGACCTGAGAAGCTTTCTAGGTTTAACTACGAGAATTTTTGCGTTGTATTTCGAATGTTGAGGCTATTTGAACAGGATGATTCATAACAGTTGTTACAAATTTTTAGGAGAATTACATTAAAAGGAATCACCTAGCACTGCATGGTCTCGCACGAGATTCATGGTTAATATTATTCGTTTTCGATTTTTTACACATTACGATTTTTATATTTAACTTATAAAATATAACTGTGTGAATTGTTCTTTAAAATGTTTGTCCAGTAACTGTATGTACCGAAAAAAAATTATAAATTACATTTATGACCTACATAAAATATGTAGTTCAATTTTCAAATTGCTAATATATAATTGAAATTGAATGGTGGTGCACTGAATTATTTTAATGCAAGTACTTACAATTTTTACGCTAGAGCCTTCTGTAAAAAAGTCTTAAAGAATAATTTTGAGATTCCATTACATCTTTTAAAGAATACTTTTGAGACTACCATGTACTGAAATAATCATTATTCAGAAAAAAAAAACGGAAATGGAGCCATCTCCTACGTCAGACCATTAACTGAGTTGTTAGAAGTTGAGTTTGCTTGTCAAGAATGACTCAGCATAGGGGTTACAAATTTTGAGGAGAGACACAGAACACTTGGACTATGGGGAATCACATAGCAATATGTGATTGGATACGATTTTCTATCTTGGCACTGATGGCACAAAACTCAGAAATAAGGGAAAGAAATATCTAGAGTTTAATATAAACTCAACAAGATAGGTACAGTTGGCTCGCAGGAACCAAGATTAATTAATAAAAATTGATTTTTCATACTTCATTTTATTTGCTTCGCCAGTTATATTTATCCATTTCTCTTACTCTATTTATATTTAGAATTTATATTAATGTAGTTAAAAATTTCGATACTTACCAAGAGTTTGACCTGTTCGTCTAACTTTTCCGAGTGTGCTTTGATTCAATTTGATTGTATGGCAATAACCTAATCTTGTTGAAGGGTAATCAGTGATTGTTATATTTTCCGTCACTAGTGGCAAATATTTTGTAATACTATAAATTCAAAAAAAAGTATCTTAAAAACATAGAAAGGGTGTATACGAAATATTATTCAATTGAGAAATAAAAAGCATTATTATTTATATTCTCACCATCACTACTGAAAGTAAGTTAGATTGAAATTTATAATGTGTTGCCGCATGAAATTCATAATGTAAGTAAGAAACAGTTACCTAATATTTCCTTAACTTTAAATACGTGTGTTTTTTCTCACTAATTGTTACCTTATATCATAGTGAATCCCCACTTTTTTAGTGATCAATAAAGTGGTTTCTCAGAATTTCTCTTTAATTTCCGTAAAATTTTCAACCTATTTTATAAACAATATTACTTTTAAATAATGCAGTTAGGATATAAAATTTCTGATCAAAATACGTATTTCTTTATCACCATTTTTCAAAAGGTTAGTATTTTCTGAAAATGGTATAGATTAGAAAAGGATTACATATTCCATGGAAATGTTTAAAATGATTTCAGGTCTAGAGATTATTGCTGTATTGACTTATCTAGTGATTATTTTCGGTGTTGCTTATGTAGAATCTGTTAAGTATATTACATAAAACAATTACATAGTAATATATTTTTCTAGAAAGGTTTCATTTGAGATATTTTGCTCTAAAAAACACTCCACATAGATATTTATGTTTACTGACGGAAGAATTTTGTCTCATTTATTGTCTTATCCTTCAAAAAAGGTAAAGAAGTAATTTAGGTATGCTATAAAAACAATGTTTTAAAGAAAAGAATGGTTATTTTTTTATGCACCTTATGCATTTAAAAGTAAACTTTATTTCAGTTATTACAAAAGTTTTACTTATTCAATGCAATTAAAACTTTTTGTATAAATTAGTAGGATTTTTTTCATTTAAAGCTTTACAAGTGCTTTTAAAAAATAAATTGCAATGATATGAAAAGGTATTTTGTATGTATTATATTCTATAAAATATTAATGAAATTTATGAGAGTGTTAACCGCATTTTATTTAATAAAAATTTATAATAAGATTAATAGTTTTTTTATTTTTATGAATTATATATAATTCTTACTTTTAATTAAATTAATCTTTTGCATTATATGTGCACTTCACAATGAAACCCCAAACTTTGTGGGCATTTATCTGTTTCTAAAAATAGTTTTCGTTTAAAACTTTAAAAGTACCTTGAGAAAATAAGTTGCAATGAATTAAAAGATTATTTTTTATACGTATTTTATGCTATAAAAATCAAGGCAATTCATGAGAGTGTAATAGCCATTTGATTTACTAAAAGAATTTCAATGAAATTATTAGCAGTTTCTTTTTATTTTAATAAACTAAACATAAATCATACCTTTGGTCAAAACAATCTTTTGCATTATATGTGCATTGCACAATTAAATCATACACTTTATGTCCATATGTTTGAAGGTGTTGAAGTGTTATTCCAAGGTTTCCCCATATATCACTCAAATCTTTTGCTTGACTTTCATTTAAAAACTGGCTTTCAGACTCGAAACAAAAACCTATTAATAAAATTGAAACTATGTTAGATAGGCCTTAGAACATCTTTGAGTTTTATGCACTTTTAAAGGTAACTGGCGTTGAATTATTTATTTCAAATAATCGAAGTACACAAATTTTTCGTTTTTATTCTAACTTGAGGTCTCTGGATCGAAAAATTCGAAACATACTTTTAATCATCTTTATTTAACTTCAAAAAGTAAACTTATGGTGAATATTTGCTATTTTTGGAAGCTTGTGAAATACAAGGCTGTCATCTGATTAGAATTTGAGATAGAAAACGTGTGCTGATTTTCTTTTAATTGTTCTAGTCGAAATTATACCAATACAGTTTTCTATCAGTAATTCTTGAAAAGTAGTTAAATAGCATAAATTTTTCTATTTTTAAATTTAATATCTTTGTATTGTTATCTAATAAATATCTATGTTTTTGTTAAATTTACGTCATAAGAATTTTTAGCATCATCAAAATTGGTTTTACTCAGTTTAAGCTGCAGGAAAATTAAATTTTAAAACATCAAAGAACTGACAAATGTGCAGCTGTAAGACCTGACTCAAAATCTCAAGTCGTGCATTTTAATTGTTTGAAATTTTTGAGGAAAATTGCAACCATGTTCTAAAAAATATCAAGAGCTACTTCTCCTAATCTATTAAATCGCATCCCTTTATTTCCCCCCTTTTTTAAATGATAGTGTGTTGATGAATAATGCAATATCATCAAAGATTTGTTAAGTACAGAAAAAAAAATCATGAAAACAAAAATGAAAAATTTTACTTGAATCCAAGATGGCGATGGTGGCTTGAATAAAAAACTTATCATATCATGCCATAATTTTTCTTTTTAGTGCCCATCATAAATTGTTGATACTGTAACTATTCCTACTTGGTACAAGTAACTATTCATGCTACTCATGCTTTAACCATTCCTACTTTTTTCAACTTTAAGCACAAATTAAATCATGTTGAAATTTACAAAAGTGTATAGTAATTTTAATGAAATTTTCTATATTCAAAATATGGTAATTACTTTCCATCAAGTTTTTTCTATTTATTTTTTAAATAAAGCTGCATCCCAAGTTGAAATACCTTTCTTCAATTCGAACACTTTTTACTTTTAAATGTTTTTCCATATCTGTAGATTTCAGCTTTATTTGAAACATATTAGAATCATATATGGCAGTAGTTTTACTTTCGTTACTTGTACCGGTGGTACAAGTAAAAAGTACGTACTTTTACTTGTACTTCGTTACTTTTTAAATTTAGTACTTTTACTTGTACTTCGTTACTTTTTAAATTTAGTACTTTTACTTGTACTTTCGTTACTTTTTTAGGGAAAAAGTACAAGTATTTGTAACGGAAATGTCGAATGAAATCGTTACTTTTTCTAAAACTCGGTAAGTTTCGGTAAGAAAAAAAATAATTAAAAAAAATGCTTATGTTTTTTTAATTTATAAAATTAATGTGCAATATATATGCATTCACAGATAACTTCGTGTTTAAATACTTTGACATTTTAAAATTGTCATTTCGCAGTTCAAAAAAGCCGTCCTTTCCCTTTCAGGAAAGGGAAAAGACGGCTCTTTTGAACTACGAAAGGTTTCGCGATGTGAAATCGCTGGATGATTTATTGTTTGCTGCAGGTCTGGTACCTTGCCTCAAATCTAATTGGTTGGAAGAAATAGCTAGGGAGGAGGCTACAAAAAAATTGGAAAGAATTGTTCAAGCTAAACACCCTGCTATAACTAATAACGTAACAGAAAAAACCCAGGGATTTTCAATTTTCTAAAGCTGAAAACATCATGCCAATCACCAGCGACAGAAGAATTTATGGCGTACATGAGCTCAAATGTCGAAACGGAAAGCATATCAATTTTGAATCGATATCCAATCGTAAAAAAATTATTTGTGAAATTATTACCGCAGTACCTTCTAGTGCTCCCGTGGAGCGCTTATTCAGCGTGGCTAAGCACGTTCCGAGAAATTCTCGCAGCAGACTCAGTGACACCACTTTCGAAATGCAATTATTTTGCAAAATGAATAAAAATACTAATTAGCAAGTTATTTTCATTCATTTTCGAGGTTTCGCGATGCGAAATCGCTGGACGATTTATTGTTTGCTGCAGGTCTGGTACCAAACAACGCCCAGTCAAATCTCTAAGAACTTCAGAACTATTTGTGCTATTGAAAACTATTATAATTACTATTTTAACTCTTGAAAACTAGAAGGTATTAATTTAGCTGCAGATACTAAAATTCGTTTACAAATTTTAATTATTCCGTTTGGCAGAAATGTTCGGAAAATGATTTTCTCGTATGACTTCAGCATTAGCCATTGTTACAAATAAAACTGTAGACTGTTCTGTTTCAACTTACACTGCACATTCAATTATTTTTTACTAGCTCAAAGATCACAAAGCTATCTGATAAGTGTTTGCTTTGTTTATGTTTGTGCTTTTAAAACGCGTTTCTATAGAGTAAAACAATTTTAAATCAATGGTAATTTAAATAAATAAAAATAATAAACTAAAAATTAAAATCAATAGATAAAATTTCTTTTTCGTGCAAATCCATAAAAAGTTTGATATTAAAATTATATTTGATTTTAAAATTATATTATACGATTATATTATAAAATTATATTATAATATTCTTCCGAATTTAAAAATAAATTAATGTCCATAACTTTCAAAATTAAAAATAATTAAATAAATAACAAAAATTTTGCAAAAACATTAAAGAACATAAGAATATTATTCAATAAAATTTTAGGTTACTTTGAGTTTTGGATTTCCCAGAAATGTACTTTTAAATCGCTACTTTTTTTGTTTAGTACTTGTACATCTACTTGTACTTTTTACTCGTTACTTATTGAAAGTAACGTTGCCATATATGATTAGAATACTACATAGTAGACAGAAAATCATCAGGCTTCATTAAGGTTTATAAAAACATTTATCTTTCAAAATCCTTTCAACAACACGAAAACTTTGTGACTGGGTGGCGTGCATGTATTTTACATGCATTGATAGACATTGCAAAATGGAGAAAATATATCCATCATAAGTTTATTTGAGAAAATTAAATTAAAAAGATTAAAAGCATATTTAGAACTTTTCCTCCCCTTTGTAAATAATTTCTGAGAAATCAAATTAAAAATGTTCTAAAATTAGATTAAAAATTAGATTAATTATTATAAACTATTCGACAGATTTCGCTCAATTTTGCATTTTCCAGTTCAAAATAGTATTCTTGAAAATTGCATGCTTTACAGTTCAAAATGTTTTTGACTTTTATTCATTTAAATTACGAATGTTTACTAAAAGTAATATTTTGCATGGCGATTTCTTTGAATAAAAGAATTCTGTAATTGCATGGTAAAATCTTTTGATGCGCTTAAGAAATTTTCGAGGTATGGTAAAATACGTAAAAAGTAAAGTTAACGTTAAGGGGCCAAACTTCGGACCGCTCTCCTGATTAAACTATTGGGACAATATTTCTCAGATTAAGGTTAACCCCTATATTTCGAGAGTCAGAAATTCGAATGCGTCAAAAACAAAAAATGTTATTTATTCAGAGGAAGTACGTTTTTGTGTCTGATTTCGTAACTCAAAATATCATCCTCAATAATTTATTAGCATATTTGAGGTCACCCCCTTGAACCATTAAGATTGAGTCCTAGAAAGTGGAGATCCGACCTTGAAAACAAAAGTTAGTCAGTTAGTCAGTTTTTTATTTTGCACTCTGTATATTAAAAATTCCATATTTTAACCTTTTCCATACTTTGCCATACATCGAAAACCTTTTTAGCGAATGATACTTTTTTTTGCACGCAATTGAAATGCCGTGCAAAAAATAATAAATTTAATTTACTCTTTATTACTTCTTTTAGCATTTAACTAATAATGGTCGAAAATATTTAGAGTTATGAAGTACACAAATTCTTACATCAATTTTAAATATTTAATTTTTAATGACAAAATGCAAGTTTTGATCAAAATCGGTGATGTTATTTCTGAGATGTAAAAATTCTAAAAAGTTGAACTTAAAATTTTCTTTTCTCAAAATTAAACATGTTTTAATCGAATTTAGGTTTTTTTAGTAACTTAAAATTATGTAGTTAAAAATGATGAAAGAATTTTCACATTTAAAATATCAAGTTTTTTTACCAGTATTTCATAAAGATATAAAAATATATAAATTATTCCTATCAAATATTTTTTATATGAAATCTTCTTTAGATTATCGAACTATATAATAATTAAAAAAAAATGTTTTAAATTAACGGAAATAGTTACTGAATTATGTAAAAAGTTGAAAGGTGCCCGATTTTTCAACTGTTCCTCTGACTTAATTATTGGTACCCAAACTTTCAATGAGTTCAAAAATCAAAACTCACATCGGACGAAAAGAAAATATATATAATCTTAGCAAATAAGTTTTTGTGTCTGATTCCGTAACTTAACTAATAGTTGGCCCTAGCTAATTAGCCTATTTCAGATTAATCCTTATAGCTATTAATATTGGTTTTTTAATGCATGAAAAACTGATCATTTAGCAAAAATTATTAAGGGTAATTTTCTTGTGTGATTAATGTAGGTAATTCCTCATAATAAGCTTCGATACTTCTTGATTTTATTAGCAGCCGATAAAATTAATTCTTCTTACTGTTATTCCACAGACAGCTTTTCACTTGATTCAAATTTTTTCAATCTTTTTCATCCTCTTTATTCCATGGTAAAGCAATAAATAGACATTGATGTTTTTATTAGTAGTTCACAGACTGTCTCTCGATTCATCCACATTACTATTCTAATTTCTTCTTATCCATTTCATACCATGGCTACAGCAGTTGAGATAGCTTGCTATCTTCAACATCATTCCAAAGTGGGCCTCTTATTTTAATTCTACTTTTCTTCAATTTTTTTTTCTTCATCCTTTCAATTTCATGATCACGAATTTTTTAACTAGGCCTAGTTTAGTCATGTGTTTAACATCTTCGTTACAAAGTGTACGTCAAAATATATCTCCCGAAGAACTTATTTTATCTAAATAGACCAAAATATGAAGAGGAAATATACTACTCTTGATGAAGTGAAATTACTTCATAGTAACAAACTTCTTTTAAGTAACCATCTTAAAGATCTAACCTATGATTGTTTAATGGGCATTAACACTTGTGGAGGGGCATCCTCTTGGTAATGCAAGTCTCATGAAAAACTCTCATTCTGTTGAGGAGATTAATAAATTTAAAATCTCATAACAATAAATTGCACTCCATTAAGGCCATTTGTAGCTCCGAAAAGCTACTGAGAAAGTTGAAAATTGAAATTGCTCAATCAAGAACATTTCAGACTTACTAGAGAGGATTCAGATCTGAACAGCAATGCAAACTTTTGAGTAGCGTTGAAATATGCGGGGAATATACAATGCACAAAATTCAAAGAAACGACTGCATAACTTTTGATCTGATGATTCTTGTACAGATAAACATTCTTTATGTTTTGAGAACTAAATCTTAAATATACCTTTTATTTCGAGGAAGTGCAGTTAGAATAATTAAAGTTACGAAATCAGGCAAAAAAAAATGAAATTTTACTTCATTTCCAACGGATTTGGAATCTTAAGCCTCAAAATACGGAGGGGGTAGCAGTAATCTAGAATAGACAATAGTTCAGTCAGAGAGGGGCCGAATTTTAAATTTTACTACTATATTAAATCTATGAAACTATATTAAAGCGAGTCAAATTTCTTTTACTCAAAATTATGAAACATGTTTAGTTTAAGCAATTTTTTGTAAGATATGCATAGATATATTAAGATTTATTATTATTTTCATATTTTATTTTAATTTCTTAATTACGCATTTTGAGCTATATCCATTTTTTATGCACGCATTTAAAGTGACATCCAAGTTTAAAAGTTTGCCGATAGTATGGTAATTTTTTCGGTAAGAGTACAGGGGCAGAAATTATTGCTTTTGCAAAAAACAAGATACTGACGTATAATTTTTTTCTAAAAACCAGAAAACTAAGTTAATGCGAGTGACCGATACACTCATTTTAATAAATTAAGGTTAAAATCAGCAAATAAAGCTACAGAAACAGAACAAACGCGACTTAATATATAAAGCCTATTTGTTAAACAAAAGATAATGGACAAAAAAATTGGTGTATAATGCATGATACCATTCATAAAACCTTTACTCGCTGGGTCAATTATAAAAAATATCTCCTTTACAAGAACTTAATGGTTGGTATGATGGTTAATACATCACATGTCTTCCATGTGATGAAATGCAGTTCGTACAATGCCTAGACATGTTGAGTATAAAATTATCGAGTTTTTATTACAGGCGGCAGATAATTCTACCTCGTAAAAAATCATCCTCATGCCTCCTCTGTGTCATAACTATTCGGTTATGGCAATGTGTGTCTTACAGAACGCTTGTGAACAATTTTATTTCCTTGCCACTATTCCTTATATACTATCGGCGTCATCTGGTGGCTTTCTGTAATTTAATGTTTTTTTCTGAAGATGTGTGTAATTCGAGTGAAATTTTTACAATAGAATTCAATTTCTACGTGATTCTGAATTATCCCTAATTTGCAGTAATTTATAGACAAGAGCGTATATGCTTACAAGATTCCAAAGAGACCTATTATCTGACAAAAATATCTGTTTCAATCAAAATTATAAATAAGTTGGAACTTCAAATAGTGAGTTTTAAAAAACAGTTAAGAATTTCTAACTTTAATAAATATATTTTTAATTTCTATGTCGAGATTTTATCGCCATTTCTGACCTTCGTTTTCATCAAAATTGCAAATTTACGTAAAAATTTTAAAAATGTACGGACTTTTTTGGAAAATTCAGCACAATTAAGTACAGTTAATTTGTGTGTTTTGCCCTCTGTACCAAGTGCTCTTCGGTCCAGGCATCCCGTGAACATCTACTGGACTGCCTCGGTCTTTTAAAACAAGACCTTATAGAAAGACCCTTACTTGTTTTAGACTTTTTAAAGGCGAACAAACTCATGGACCTTGTTTCTAGGCTAGAAATGGGGATTTGAAAGGAGAAAGAAGAAGAACAATTAATTAAGCACAATTAATTCCATAAAATTAATTCAATAAAGTATTTTATTTGAAATAAAGTTTAATTTTTTTTTCAATTTTACTATAGTTTATATCAACTTTTCAAAATGTGATATAAATTTATTTGCAATGTGTTTTGAAAATGAGCTCCTGGTATTGATAGAAATGGTTAAAAAAATTGGTTTGTGCATGAAGAATATTTCGCATCTTGAAAGATACCTCGTTTAAAAAGCATATTCTATTTTAATCTAAGCAAATACGTTAAAAATATCAAAAGAACGTACCTTTATCTCTATTATAAGTGGAATTTTGATTTTTTGCTAACTGGTCATCAAAGAAAGATTTCTTTAATATATTTAAATTGCAGACCGTCAAAGCAGGAAAATCAAGTTCTCTAGAATGAATTTCTTCAGCTGTTGTTACTTTGGCAAAATTTAAATACTTTCGTATTAGAAACGAACAATGATATGTGCAAGCAGCTAGGGCTATTAAAAAAATAATAACCCAGAAAATTTTCCATCCAGTTTTTCTGCTTTCAACTATCCTTCGTAGACCATGAGTGGTTGCTTGGGATGCATAATCTACCCAAAGATCATTTGTTGTCTCTAGGGACATGTCATGACCTGAAAATTCAAATATTTCACGGTATAAAACATTTATGAAATGTACAAAAAGCATGAAATGTACAAATAAAGCTACTCCCTAACTAACTTCTTACGCAATGATCAGATTTGTATGTTCACGAACTATTTTCATACTTAGGGGTTGGTATTATACCTTATTGCTTTTGATCTTTTAAGTAACATGTTTGATATAATAATATTTGTTATTAATGTTACATAAGATAGATGAAAAAGATTAAAGAATTAATTTTTCCTCCATATCTAACTAAATTTATAGCAAAGCGTTACAGAACTAATTAATGCTCTCTCTCAATTTCACGAAGTGGACTTTCCAAATTTTAATGAAATTTTTGAACATTTTAAAATTTATTTTAATTTATTAAAAAAGGAATATATTTGAATTTATAAATCCTTATGAATTATAAAACTGTTTTCCATAAAATGCATTGAAACATTTGCTATTAAACCTTTTTGTTCTATGCATCATAATGAATTTGAAAATTCATTTCAGGACTATTTGATGATTTCATTGGTTTCATGAATTCATTGACTGACGATTTTTATCCTACAAATTTTCACTTTATCTATTTAATATTTTAAGTAGTCACAAAGTGGAGAGTTCATGCACAATTGTGATTTTGTGTAAATGGATAAACTAGCATACAAATGAAGTATTTATAAATTTTTGCAAGAAAGGATGAAAAAAAATTAATGTAAACGAAAAAGAAGATAATGAAGAGAGAAAAAAGTTAAATAAGTAAATATACTAGGTTGAATTTTCTATCCAGAACTCTACAAATTATTTTTCATTCTTTTGATATATTTTTACAAGATTTACATACATAGTTTTAATATGTAGTACCAGTTTCCAATTTTTAAAATAAATTTGTTTTTACTAAAAAGTATTTCTTAGCAGTTCTTACCTTAAATGGTTAAGCGAAATGTGCTGAAAAAAAATGGTTGTCGAGAAGATTTTTTAATAACTTCTTCCTTCCGTTAATGCATGTACTTATTCCAAATAAAACAAACTTTCATTTGTTAGTTTACTTATTGCAAAATATTTTCTGTAAGTTTTCTTTCGAAGAAATATAATGTTCATAGGCAGTTTCTAGATGTTTCAACAATTTTTGATTGGCTCATCTTAAGCGTTGCTACGGATACCGAAACCTTAAGAGAAACGCCTCCTATAAGGGACTAAAAATGATTCATAACTCACAAAAAGAAAAAAAAAACTTAACTTTTCTTTAATCACAATTGGATAAGTGGTGAAATTTGTTTATTTTTGTTATAAAAACTAATATCTTAATAAAAATTTATTTGTCCTTTGAATCTCAAATTTAACAACTGTATTTTTCAATTTTCTTAATAAATTTTTGAAAAAATGCATTCATTGTCCTTTTTTCAGGTGCGTTTTTAAAAATTTCAGATGCATTTTTAGAACCATTCGAAAAATAAGAGCATTTTGCACTAAAGACATTTTAGCACTAATATTGAACCAAATTATGTCACGCCAGTGAAATTACTATTATAGGATGTGATTGTTACAACAAATGTAAAAATAAACCAATTAATTAATAATTTCAAAATTAATAAAGAAATAAAAACATAATAATATTTAATAAAATAATGAAGAATAAATAAAACTGTAGAAAAAAAAATTCACCGAAAAACTCGGATTTCTTGAAAACGTCAACCTAGAAACATAATTCCACTGTTGACAAAATACTGAGTATTATGTAGTATTTAACAATGTATACTGTTTAATAAAAAAGCTATAAAGTCCTTTCAAAAATTTTGTTCAATAGCTTGGAAGTAATAGACCACTTTTTACGAAAACATTTTCTCATAAAAAACAAAAATATCAGAGAATTTAACCATAAGAATGTCAGAATTAACCTTTATAATTTTAACTATTTTCTTTAATTACACTCATTGTCATAAAAATAGAAATTGCAATCCATGAAAGAGTTGCCGGAATAAAACGAAATTACCTAAGTACGACGTTGATATAAGTAAGTGATTAAAAAAAATCAAAGAAAATTAATAATTATTGCAGGAAAAGATACAAATAAACGGAGATTTCTGTACTCTCTTAGGCAATTTCTAGCGTATGTATGATATGATACTTTCGGACATTGAGGGATGCGAGACCCGTATGATGATCTGCGGCATCTCATTCCACAGTCACGTAAAAACATCGCTAAATAGGCTAAATTCGGAGTCTGTCCAACTTGTCATCCCAAGTGGGACACTTGTCATTCAAGTGTCATCCCTAGTCATGCTCATTCGGTGACAAGTCTGGGGATTGAGCATACCAGAGAAAGGAGTTTAATTGGTGTAGTGTTGCTGCGTGTGACCGAGCTACGTCTTATTTTATTTAATTTTTAAAACCCGTGGTAAACAGCTGATCCAATTCTAATTTTACGACAATCAATACTGCAATTTTGTATTTTTAAGCCCAATCCAGAAGACCAGAGAACTCTTGAATCAAGCATTATGACAAACCCTTTGTGGAGGACTTTTGATGGAGCTAACCCACATTTGCGTTGCATAGAAAGGGAAATTACGAAATTCTCCAAAGGTTAGTCCGATGGCAAGGGGATTCCGAATACCGAATCCGAATACCAGTGAGGATATTTTAAGCCCACACTGTGCTCGATACGAGCCGGGAGTAGATTATGCTTCTACTGTCCACCAATGGCTCACCTCATTAGGAGGTGAACACTTTATCCTCTCTGCCACCAAGTGATATCCTCAGGTACGCGTGTTATTATTGATAGCTGGGCTCTCAGGAGCCATTTTCAACAAGATAATGCTCGGTCGCACACAGCAAGAATGAGACAGGAATGCCTCCGCCACTTTCCCTGACTTGCTCAATCCCCAGATTTTTGACCGAGGGAGCATGTCTGGGAACACTTGGGGCGACAAGTAGGGCAGACTCTGAGTTTCAACTATTTAGCTATTTTTGTGCAGCAACAGTGGAACGAAATGTAGCAGGTCATTATAAGGGACTTAAATAGCTCAGTACTCGAAAGTATCGCATCATGCATGAACGCTGTAGAAGTGACCCAAGAGGGTACTGAAATCTCCTATTTGTTTTTTCTTCTTCAATAAAGTGCTTAAAGGTGCTTAATTTCGAATTCTGTTTTTTTTAAAAGCCCTTAAAGGTGCTTTTTTTCGATGGGTGTTTTTAAAAAGTGATTAATTTTCCCTTTTCCAAAATGAGACTTTTTCTTTACTATGTTTATTTTCACCACGAATTATGCAAAAATACATTGTCGTATTCAACGTTTTCACAATTAATTCAACCCCCAGTCTATTTCGTAGTACCATTGGTTCTTAGTGTATGAAATCACCATTCCTTTTTACATGTTTCATGAAATACTTGCGGGTAGGCATTTGCGTATACTGAGCTGGATTCAGTGGGAAGGATTTTCGTCTCTCATGTACTACTTATTGTATATTTTGCAAGATATTCTTAATTTCTGTCTTCGTTTTCCGCCTTCTGGAAACGGACCAAAAATATCTCGAATTTTTGCTGATAACTGGGACCAACTAAACATTGACAAATTTTTTTCTCTTAGAGTGATAGAAAATTTTATTTCTCTTGCTAATTTCATCGTTGGTGAAGCGTCATCGCCATCGTCACTGGCAAGCGAATGAAACCGGATAAAACCATCATTTGTCAAAAGCTTGCCAACTCTGTCTAATTATGATATTTTTTTAAATCCTTAAACATTTGCGTAGTTGACATCTTTAAGCCTTTTGAGTGACTGAAAAGTGCTTATTTTTGCTGAAAAATTTGCCTTCGCAGCCTGTAGTAAAATATTCTTTTCTACAGGTTGTGAAGGCTTCTTTTATATCTATGAGTGTATTTTAGAAGTGTTCCTATTATACCAGCGAATTCAGCCGAGGAAAATCTTTTAGAAGATCTTTTTATTTCAGACACAGTTAAAATTGTGTCTTTAATTAAACGGATACATCTTGAAAGACTTGTTTAAGAAAATAGACACTGCTTGAAATGCCTGTTTAAGAAAATGGAAACAACTTGAAATGCGTGTTTAAACATCCGGAATAACCTTAAAAACAATTTGTTCGTCATAGAAAATATTTTCAAAAAATATTAATTTTAAACATTAATTATAACAAAAAGTGATTTATCCAATTTTGATAATGTTTTCGTCTTTTTATTTATCAATGTATTAATCAATGTATCGTATTTGCATATTATTTTTTAACTTTGTATTTTCAGGAGAATTTTAAATATATATTTTAAGGGCAAATAATATGAACCACAATTTAAGGTTATTTCATTAATTTATCTAAAAAAGATTACAGCTCTTAGTCGATTTAGAATATGATTTACAACGAATTTCCAATATAATACTTGATTTCTACTTCATAATATTATTCGTAGAAACAACTTATTTGTCACTATCCTACAGTGTTAAATAAATTAACATATTAAAAAAGTACAAAATTACTTTTTGAGATTTATCATAGCAAAAAAAAAATTAAATAAATAAAAAATAAAAAAAAATTGCGGCTATACTTTGAAATTCTTTTTAATCTCAAGTAATAGTGTATAGAAGTTAATGAGCAATTTTTCTGTAAGCAAAGCCTAATTTCGAAAATCTATATTGTTTTATTATTCATAATCTAGATTGAAAAAATATTGTTTCTCGATAAGGAAAGGTTAAATTAAAACCAAGTCCTTCGATCTTATAATGACTGCGAAAGTAAACCTTTTCATGATCAATAGTTCTTTTTTCCTTTACTAAAAACGATTTTAAATACTTATTTAGTGCAGTAACTTAATTTTGTCTACTATTAGGCAGGTGTTTTGGCCGGCAACTTGATTATTAAATGAAATAAATATTCGCACTTAACATATAATTTTTTATTGATTTGTTTATTTATTATTATTTTTTTTGCAAAGCTTCTAAAGTAATACAATGCCTAAGAAAAAAAAGTGGACACCCTGAAAACTTA